CAAAACTGGAGTCGCTGTTGTTGTTAAAGTAGTTCATTATTGCAAGGAAATTCGTTCACACATCACATGAGATGCATCTTATCAACAAAGATGGTCGAACACAATCAAACAAGGCTCAAGTGCGAATGTTGATCAAAATCCAAACGTGTAAGAGATGAGAGTGAGAGATCAAACACAGAGTAAAGATGGTAAAAGAACAAAAATTATAGGCATATATTATGTTTATAAAAACTGCATGCGCAATACTATTACCATTTTGTTACAAACCATCAAATCGAGACAACACAACTCGAGAACCAACACGACTGGGCGACACTACTAGCCCATTCTATCTTACCCCAAACTTCACTTCCACGCTTCTCTAATGCGATCTTCGCGCACCATAGTCTCTTTTCAGATATTCCCTCGTCTCTTTCAGACTCACGAATCCACATAACTATAAGTTTCCCACCAAGGTTGCGTATTTGAAACACATACTATTAGGATAACTATGTTATTAGAATGATAATCACGAATGTATTAGGAAAAGATAAGTCTTATTCCTTAGATAAGGTTGACTTGTGTTTATCTTGTCCTACAAGTTATCTCTGTAAACTCTATATAAAGAGTCCCTACATGATTAATAAAGTCAAGCAATTACAATACTTCTTATATGGTATCAGAGCCTCCTGCGATCCATTAATTTTTCTCTTCTTTTCTGCAAATCAATTACACATTCAAGATGTCTTCCTCTGAATCAGCCACATCTGGCATTCACACAACTGCAACAAGAACTGCGATCTATGATCCAAACAATCCAGCAAACTCACTTCTTGCTATCAACATGTCCAACGTTACTCGTTTGACAAACACAAACTATCTCATGTGGAGCAGACAAATTCAAGCTCTTCTTGAAGGTCATGAGCTCCACGGCTTCCTAACAAAAACGGCATCAACACCAGAGGCAGAGATCATCAACAATGGAATTGCTGAGCCCAATCCTGCCTATGCACCATGGCGTCGCCAAGATAGATTGCTATACAGCGCTATCATTGGTGCCATATCACTATCCGTTCAACCAATCATCGCAAGTGCTACAACAACTCATGAAGTTTGGAGCACACTTAACCTAGTCTATGGAACTCCGACTCGAGGACACATCAAACAACTCAAACATCAGATTAAAAGTTGTGTCAAAGGTACTCATACCATCAGTGAGTACATGAGACTCATCAAGACCAAAGCCGATGAACTGGCACTACTTGGCAAACCCTTGGATGACGAAGATCTCATTGAGCAGATCCTAGCTGGTCTTCCTGAAGAATACAAATCGGAGATTGATGCTGTGAATGGAAGAGATAATCTTATCTCTTTCTCCGAACTCACAGAGAAACTCCTGAACAGAGAAGCAATGATTGTGTGTGATCAACCTACAACACCATCATTCCCTGTTACAGCTAATGTAGCCGCAAGAAGCAACACCAACAACAACAACAACCGTGGCACATGGCGACCGTCTATCACACCACGTAACAGCATCAGCAACAACAATAACTACAACAACTTCAACACAAACAGCAACAACAACAACGGTGGCAGAGGACCTCGTCCATATCTTGGTCGTTGTCAAGCTTGTGGGATTCAGGGACATAGTGTCCAACGTTGTCCATCCTTCCGCATAGTCTCGGCTGATTCAACATCTCACTATAACAACAGCAACACTCAGTGGCGTCCAATGGCTCATCCAGCGCTTGTTCATTCCCAACATCCTGATGCTTGGCTTATGGACAGCGGAGCCACACATCACGTCACTACAGACATGAACAACCTGGCTTCACACACACAATACTCTGGACCTGACGGCATTGTGGTTGGTAATGGAGCAAACTTACCAATCACGCATACTGGTTCAATATCTCTCAAAACCCCCTCACGAAATTTTAATCTCACGAATGTTCTTTGTGCTCCTTCGATGCATAAGAATCTTATCTCAGTGAAAAAGTTCTGCAAAACTAATAACACTTCTGTGGAATTCTTTCCTTCCATGTTTCAGGTGAGAGATCTGCAAACGGGGACACCGGTACTAACCGCACCAGCTAAAGGCGATGTATATGAGTGGCCTTCGCCTCAGTCAAGAATGCCACTTGCTTTCGCCGCTAACTCATCCTCTTCCTTAGATTGGCACCACCGTTTAGGACACCCGGCTTTACCTGTTTTACAAAAGATTTCTAGTTTTATTCCTGGTTTTTCATGTCATAATCTCAATTCTTTTCACTGCAACTCTTGTGCTATTAATAAAAGTCATAAATTGCCTTTTCATGAAACATCTATATCCTCTTCCCAACCACTGCAAATCGTATTTTCTGATGTGTGGTCCTCTCCAGTTTACTCGTTTGATGGCTATAAGTACTATTTACTAATAGTTGATCATTTTACCCGATATATGTGGTTCTTTCCTCTCAAACTTAAGTCGCAGGTTGCAGCCACGTTTATTAAGTTTAAGCAGCTGGTCGAAACACAGTTCAACACCAAAATTAAAACGCTCTACTCAGACAATGGTGGCGAGTATATTGCACTACGCTCCTTTCTTGCAGACAACGGCATCTCACATCTCACAACACCACCACACACTCCGGAGCATAATGGTCTCTCTGAGCGCCGTCATCGCCACATTGTTGAAACGGGTTTGGCTCTCCTTACCCACGCATCAATTCCCACGGCGTACTGGACATATGCATTTGCGGCGGCCACCTATCTGATCAACCGTATGCCAACAAAATTCCTATCAATGGACTCACCATACCTTCGCCTATTTGGAGCATCACCAAACTATACGAAGCTACGTGTTTTCGGCTGCTTATGCTACCCGTGGCTGCGACCTTACACGACTAATAAGCTTGACCCTCGTTCTACTAAATGTGTTTTCTTCGGGTATTCTCTTACTCAAAGTGCTTATTTATGTTTTAATCCTTCCACCTCACGCATGTTTGTTTCTAGACATGTTCAGTTTGTCGAAAACCAGTTTCCTTTTCCCTCTTTGATAGCTCCTCAAACTTCTAAAGAAGACAATCAGGAACCCTCTTGGGTGCCATCCATCGAACCCACTCATTACAGGCATGAAGCTGATAAAGTGTTAGTACCGACTTCCCCTGCTGCAGAACAATCACCAGAAACATCTGAAGATGAAGTAGATCACACGGCACCAACGCAACTTCAAGATCCTCAGCCAGCACAACATCCCATGGTCACTCGATCGCGCAACAACATCATCAAACCGAATCCTCGCTATTGTCTCAGTGTCTCCCTTGAACCTCACACCATTCAACAAGCTCTCGCCGATGACAAATGGCGCAAATCGGCATGTGCAGAATTCAATGCAGCTATTCAAAACAATACTTGGGAACTGGTACCTGCAGAAGAAGCTACCAATATAGTTGGGAACAGATGGCTTTTCCGCACCAAATTCAATCCTGATGGAACAATTGACAAACTCAAAACTCGGCTTGTGGCGAAAGGATGTCATCAACGTCCTGGCATAGACTATCATGAGACATTTAGTCCAGTGATCAAATCTCCAACTATACGTCTCCTTCTTGGTCAAGCAGCACGTTACAACTGGCCAGTTAAACAGCTTGACATCAACAATGCGTTTCTCCAAGGAACATTGACTGACGCTGTCTACATGAAACAACCGACGGGATTCATCGATAAAGAGAGGCCCAATCATGTGTGCAAGTTGAAAAAGGCCCTCTACGGCCTGAAACAAGCACCTCGTGCGTGGTACACGGAGCTCAGAAATTATCTTCTCAGCCTTGGTTTTAAAAATTCAATCGCTGATGCATCACTGTTCTTCTACATTGGTCACGGTATCTATCTCTTTGTGTTGATTTATGTTGACGACATTATAGTAACTGGAAACTCAGAAGCTAACATTCGGGATCTCATCAACATTCTGTCTACACGATTTTCGTTAAAAGACTTGGGTGATTTATCTTACTTCCTTGGCATTGAGGTTCTTCGAACTGAACAAGGATTTCACCTCTCACAGCGCAAGTATGTTGGTGACCTACTCTATCGCACAAACATGGTCAGTGCAAAGCCTGTACCTACACCGATGTCTGCGTCCACAAGTCTATCTGCTAGAGATGGCCAACCGCTTGAGAATCCCTCTGACTATCGCAACATTGTTGGCAGTCTTCAGTACCTGCTTCTCACACGTCCGGATATTGCATTTGCTGTCAATAAACTCTCACAGTTCATGCATAAACCCACCAACATTCATCTATCTGCGGCTAAACGAGTGCTAAGGTATCTTGCTGGAACTCACACGTCTGGTATCTTCTTGTCCCGGCACAGCAATCTCTCACTTCATGCGTACTCTGATGCGGACTGGGCCGGAAATAAAGACGACTACACCTCCACAGGTGCATATATCGTGTTTCTTGGACAACATCCCATTGCGTGGTCGGCCAAGAAACAAACTGGCGTTGCAAGATCTTCTACAGAAGCCGAATACCGTGCTGTCTCTGCTGCTGCCTCTGAAGTTCGCTGGCTCTTCTCCCTTTTACGCGAGGTTGGAATCAAAGTGGAAGCTACTCCCACAATTTACTGTGACAATGTTGGTGCAACTTACTTGAGTGTGAACCCTGTGTTTCATTCACGAATGAAGCACCTAGCTCTTGACTATCATTTTATAAGGGAACTAGTTCAGAATGGAACGCTACGAGTAGCTCATGTTTCGTCCAAGGACCAGTTAGCTGATGGAATGACTAAACCATTAACACGGGAACGGTTTGGTACTCTGTTTACCAAGATTGGTATCACTAATCGTGCACCATCTTGAGGGGGGATATTAGGATAACTATGTTATTAGAATGATAATCACGAATGTATTAGGAAAAGATAAGTCTTATTCCTTAGATAAGGTTGACTTGTGTTTATCTTGTCCTACAAGTTATCTCTGTAAACTCTATATAAAGAGTCCCTACATGATTAATAAAGTCAAGCAATTACAATACTTCTTATACATACCTCCATGTTTTATGCGTGCGCAATACTTCCAAATCCGAACCCTTGACATTTATCCAGTCTCTAGTTTTGGAGTCAAACCACATGCAATAACCCGAGATTGAAAAACAATACATTACATCATCTATCACACACCAATCATTTATAAATCTGAAGCCACTGTGCGTCTCCACAACTTCCCACCTACTTTCTTGCGGGTCATATGCATAGCTCTTCTCTTGAGCAATTGCGTACATCTTTCCTTCAAACACGTTAATCACAAACCAATCGTAATTGTCTCCATGGCTCGGCACGTGTCTCCATGTCTGAGTCTTTAAGTCCAATACTTCTATCCAAGCCAGAGACTCGCTGGTCCCCCGACGTCCCATCACATATATTTTCTCATCGAGTAAAACCGCATAGACACACATCCGAGCCGCCAACATACTAGGGCCATCACGCCAAGTGTGACTACGACAATCAAGAATACGAACAGCTGAAGACGGCGTCTCGTAAGAACCACCGATTATGTAGAGTTCCGAACCAACCGCTACCATGCAATAATATGGTACGAGAGTAGGATTCGTAGAAGAAGGTACCGGAAACAACGAATAGTCACCATGTGGAAGAGGGTTGTCGTCGTCTTCATGTGGAAGAAGATGATTGTCGTCCTCGGTTAGGGTTTCAGCAACAGGTTTCATCCAAAGAGTGAAGCATTTAGGTGGTTGGTCCTCGGAATGTTTTAGGCAGAGATAGAGGCATGGTTCGGTGGTTCTGAGGAGAGAACGTGTCTGGTACAGTCCGGGAGAAGAGAGGAGAGAAGGGATTCTCCTGGAGACGAGAGAGAGAGTAGGGTAGTTGCATCTAGAGACACGAGCAAGAATGTTCTCAGCGATTTCATCTGGGAGGGAAGAAAACGAATGAGTTTGTAGATTCAGCGGTGTTGGAGGGTTTGTGTTCTTGTTTTCCTGCGGCTGTTCATCATTGCCCATCATGTTCGGCAGACCTTGCTGATAAGATAAAAAACCAAAACTTAGGTTAATGAATACCATAGGTCAAGTATATAAATATATACTATAAGTTTAGTTTTGGGGAAATTTCATAAAATTACTTCAACTATATTTTATTAAAATTTAGGTTAATGAATACCATTAGGTCTGTGTTATTCTTTTCATGCGGCTGTTTATCATAGCTGTTCATTTTCGGAGTTACTTGAGGATCAGGCCGGGCCTTTGGTATGTGCCCAAGGTGCAATTACACATGACCCATTTATTTTATCAATTTTTACTTAAAGATTAAATGCCCTTTTCAAAAAATATTAGGACCTTTTTTTACTGATTTTTCAAATTATTTGTATTAAAAAAAAATTTGCACAGGGCCCAGTACAATTTTGAGCCGGGCCTATTGAGGATAGGATAAAAAAAAATTAGGTTAAATATACACCATAAGATCACATATATATATATATATATATCTGTCTAATTTTTATTCAGATTCCAAAACGATGTTAACTAAACGAGTTTAAATCCAAAAATAATATCTTGATATTAAATTAGTATTCTAAATCGTATTTCAAAGCTCGTAATATTAAACTTATATTTGTAAATCGTGTATTACACCTTTTGAAATTTGATGCTATGAACTATCAAATTAAAATTTCAAATTTATTAAACACTAGATCATTTTACCTTTTTCTATAGAATCATATTGATACAAAGTACAATAAATTTTTCATGAACAAATCATTTAAAACAAAATCGAAAATATATTGAAAACTAGATAAGACCCATTCGTTGCAATGGGTTTTGTTTGATGTTTTAATTTAAATAAATAATATATAAAATAATAAATAATTTAAGTATAGATTTAGGATTCTTTTTTGCATAAGTTGTATGAAATTTATTTTATAGTTACAAACTCATTAACAGAATTGGAATTGAAAAATATATCTTCCTTACAATAAAATTAGAATAATTTTTCTGAGGACATGTGGTGTCTGATTACGAACATCTATTTACTTTATATTATTTATATATCTGATTACAACTATAACAAAATCGTGTTATTCAATAATGTTATTTGAAGAAAAATTCATTACAAATACCCAATCAATTGATAGAAATATACAATGTTTGACAACCAAATTGATACAAAAAATTGATATAAAATTATGAATATTACCATATAAATTGTATGGAATCTTTCAGTTGAAAAAAATCTTAATAGTTCCGAAAAGAAAATTTTCAGGAGGTGTTTGAGGTAATTTTTTCTCCACACATGTACTTGTTGTTTTTTTGGTTAATCTTATTTGAAATTTATGATCTAAGAGTTCGTAGTTTTTGTTGCAATTTTACAAATTAAAACTGCAGATTTCAATAAAATTCCTTCACGTAAACCATCTCCCAATTTTTCAATAAGATAATAATGCACATAATCTTGAATATTATTTTCCTACATAATAATAAATTATTTTTAATAATCAAATTATATAAGATTTTTTAATAAATACATATTTACCTTCTCAACAAGTAGGAGAAAATTCATTCTTATAAGCTCATTATTCTTGTTTAAATTTATTGTTTAATTTATTTGCTTTCAGTTTCTAGTAAGAAGTATTACAGTACGATGGTAATGAAGTTTTTATTTAACTAATCTCGTGTTAAATAACTTTCTGAAGCTATTGTTTCTTAATAAGATTCCTGGTAGCAAATTGAATTATGATTTCAGTTAGAAATAATAAATAGAACGAACAGATATAAACATAAATAAACGTATTAAAGTAGTAAATTGGCATTGCCATTAACTTACCTAACATAATCAATTTTAGATGGCCAATACAAACAAACACACATAAGCATAATACCAACGTTAACTTACGTTGTACAACATCATAACTAAAACAAATAACACGCGAAAATGTGAAAGATCATGCAAAAAACTCGCTTAATTTTTTTCTTAACTCGATAATTATGTTTGGTGATCAAATATGAGAAATGGAAAAATATGAGTGAGCTTAGTCTTATATATATATATATATATATATATATATATATGTATATATGAATAATTGTAATTTCTTTTGGTTTATGATCTTTTTAATTAGTATGTAAATAAAAAAAATTAACATTAAACTCTTTTTTAAACTTTTCTGGTTTAAAATTTTTAAAGGATAATTACTATCAATTTTTTTACATTAATCTTTTCTTTATGATTTTATAAAAAGATAATTAATATTAAATAGTTTTTTTACAAATTTTTTTATATAGATTTTTAAACAAAAAATTACTATTACTTTTTTTCAAAAAAATCTTGTTAATATTTAAATAAGTATAGTTTTTTTGGGTTATTGTCTTGTTAATTTGGATCGAATAAAAGAAAATTAACATTAAACACTCTCCTACAATTTTTTTATTTAATATTTTTAAAAAGGATAATTACTTTCAAATTTATTTTACAATTATTTTTTATTTATGATTTTAGAAAATCAAAATAAGTATTTAATAAGTTATTTGTACAAATCATTTTGGTATAAGATTTTTAAAAACGAAAATTATATTATTTTTTCAAAAAAAGTTGTGTTAATAAGTGAATAATGATAGTACATTTTTGTTTATGATCTTTTAATTAGGACTAGTTGTTTTGCCCGCACATGCGGGCTTAATTATCTTTAATATCATTTAAAAATCATCTAAATAAATGATTATTTGCGTTCAAAAAATTCGACCTAAAACATTAAAAAATTTACATAATAAATTCATTCGCAAATTTAAAAAAAATCTATTTTTTCCTTTAAATCTTTGAAAAACCTAAAGTCTATTTCATTTCTTCTTAATTGATAAAAATATAGAAATCTATCTTTCAATTTGAAAAATTGAATAGATAAATATACAATCGAAAATTGATCTTACATAAAGAATAATATTATTATTTCAAACACGTATTTTCTTTCTTTTTGAATGATCTTTTATTTTATTATGATTAATTCATGTTATGTTTAATTATATAAAATATAAAATTAAATTAAATTTAACGTGTGAGTTCAGAGGTGATAAATAACTTCACAAATATATATCATTATATTATATTATTATATTCTTTTAATTTGAAAATAATTATGTATCATATTTTTCAATTTTTTTTCTTTTCGATTATATACAACTAAAAATTGTACTTGATGAATATTTATTTATGTGTTTTCTGTTTTTGAATTTTTCTTAATTATCTTTAATATCATTTAAAAATCATCTAAATAAATGATTATTTGCGTCCAAAAAATTCGACCTAAAACATTAAAAAATTTACATAATAAATTCATTCACAAATCAAAAACAAATCTATTTTTTCCTTTAAATCTTTGAAAAACCTAAAGTATATTTCATTTCTTCTTAATTGATAAAAATATAGAAATCTATCTTTCAATTTGAAAAATTGAATCGATAAATATACAATCGAAAATTGATCTTACATAGAATAATATTATTATTTCAAACACGTATTTTCTTTTTTTTTTTTGAATGATCTTTTATTTTATTATGATTAATTCATGTTAGGTTTAATTATATAAAATATAAAATTTAATTTAATTTAACGTGTGAGTTCAGAGTTGAAAAATAACTTCACAAATATATATCATTATATTATATTATTATATTTTTTTAATTTGAAAATAATTATGTATCATATTTTTCAATTTTTTTTCTTTTCAGTTATATACAACTAAAAATTGTACTTGATGAATATTTATTTATGTGTTTTTTGTTTTTGAATTTTTTATTAAAATATATTTTCAGGATAACAACACAATATATATCTAGGAATTATCTTTTTATTTTATTTTAAACATATATTTAGATTGTGGATAATTCTTATCATTATTATTAGTTTAAATCATTTATCTAATCAAATAAATATTAAATTCCTTTTTATTTTTGCCTGATTTATATATTTTATTCATTAAGGGTATAAACTATATTAACCATTCTAACTTTGAACGTGAGAGCTCCGTTGCGAAAAATCACTTCGCAAATAATAGTATAGATTTGAATAAAAGAAAATTAAAATTAAACGCTCTTTTATATTTTTTTGTTTAAAAATTTAAAATATTTTGAAAAGGATAATTACTATCAAATATTTTTTACAATTCTTTTTTCTAATGATTTTACAAAAGGAAAATTAGTATTAACACATGTCACAATCTTAGATATATAATTCACATGTGTCGCAGTCGTGTTAATTAGTAACATCGAAAAACCAAGCTTTATATAATAAGATAGCTTTTTTTATTTACGTAAATAATTGTTTTCATTCTATTTGTCACAAAAATAAATCAACAAAGATAGTCGAACACAATCAAACAGAGCTCAAGTGCGAAGCATGGGAGTGGATTATGAGTTGAACAAAATCTAAACGTTTAACATGATGAAAGACCAAACACTAATTAAAGATCGTAATGGACAAATATATATATAGGCACGTTTTGAAAAGCGTTCTTGTTGTATGATGGTGATGGTTATATAGAACAACCATCACCATGCATGATTAAAGTCTCGTTCAAGTATACCGTCGTTTTACGAACCATCAAATCGAAATGACTCCACAACTGAAGAACCAAGGCGAGTCCGAGATACTATTAGCCCATTCTATCTTACCCCAAACTTCATTGCCACGCTTCTGTAATGCGATTTTCGCGCACCATAACCTCCTTTCATCGTTGTCATCTCTAAAGTAGGGGACCCACATAACTAAGAGTTTCCCACCAACGTTGTGCATTTCTACACGCCCCCATGCTGGACTACATGTTCTAGGGCAGAGCAATAGTTCGAGATCCGAACCCTTGACATCTATCCAGTCTCTAGCATTGGAGTCATACCATTTGCAATCACCGGAGTCTGTAAAACAGTACATTACATCCTCTATTACACACCAAGCATTTATAGATATGGAGCAACTGTACTTCTCCACAACTTCCCACCTACTTTCTTGCGGGTCATAAGCATTGCTCCTCTTTGCACCAATTGCATGAATCTTTCCTTCAACCACATTAATCTCAAACCAATCGTCAAACTCGTCGGCTCCATGGCTCCGCAAGTGTCTCCATGTCTGAGTCTTTATGTCCAACACTTCTATCCAATTCAGGGACTCGTCGAATATCCCGCAACTTCCCATCACGTATATTTTCTCAGCGAGTAAAAACGCATAGACATGCAACCGAGACACCAACATACTAGGGCCATCACGCCATGTGTGAGTCCGACAATCAAGAATGCGAACAGCTGAAGACCGCGCCTTGTAAGAACCACCGCCGATTACGTAGAGTTCCGAACCAACCGCTACCATGGAATAATATGGTACGAGAGTAGGATTCGTAGAAGAAGGTACCGGAAACAACGAGTAGTCTCCACGTGGAAGAGGATTGTCTCCCTCGGTTAGGGTTTCATCAACAGGTTTCATCCAAAGACTGTACCATCTAGGAGGTTGGTCTTCGGAATGTTTTAGGCAGAGATAGAGGCATGGTTCGGTGGTTCCGAGGAGAGAACGTGTCTTGTACAATTCGGGAGAAGAGAGGAGAGAGCGGAATCTCTTGGAGACGAGAGAGAGAGTAGGGTACTTGGCCTTAGAGACACGAGCAAGAATGTTCTCAACGATTTCATCTGGGAGGGAAGAAAACGAATGAGTTTGCAGATTCAGCGGTGGTGGTGGGTTGGTGTTCTTGTTTTCCTGCGTCTGTTCATCTTTGCCCATCATGTTCGGCAGAACTTGCTGATAAGATAAAAAAAAAAACAAAATTTAGGTTAATGAATACACCATTAGGTCAAGTATATAAATATATAAATTTAGTTTTGGAAAATTTCCATATAGTACTTCAACTAAATTATATTAAAACTAGGGTCAACCCGCCCTACGGGCGGGCATGCAAATAGAAAACTATATAAAATATATTAATCGATAAAATACCATTTAAATTTTTTTAATTTACCCTCTATTCAAAGTTAGATTATATTGAATATTTTTTAATTCTTGTTGAAAATAATAAGCTTTTAAATTTTTAAAAACTTATGATGCAAATGTCATATTTTACGTTTTTGTCAATGTTTATACTTTATTTCTCATAATCAGTAAGTAAAATACATTAGTTTTCTCGAAGTTGGAGTTGAAAATTCAATTATGAATTATTTTAACCCTTTATACTTTTGTTTTTCAATCCACTGAGACTTTTATTTTCTCTTATAGATTTTCTTATAGACATATTGATTAAGATATTACAAAAAGTAATAATCGATTCACCATTTTTTTCTAATTAGCTAGATAGTACACAAATATAATACTGATTGTCGCTATTTAAAAGTATAAATATTTATTTGAAATTTTATCAAATAAACACATTATTCAAATTGATTAGTTATTTTAAATATATTATTGTTTAGTTCTCAAAAATATACTTATTGAGGATTTTATTACTTGATATTACTTTTTTATTTGATTTTATATTGGTTTATTTGTATAATTAATCTATTTATTATTAAACAAATGTAATAAAATCGTTTTACCTTTTATTAATTATTTTAGATTTAAATAAATAATATATATATCATTTTTAAAATATATTTGTATGCTGATTTCAGGCACATTTGTTTACCGAATAATATTAAAAATATATATCCCATATATATATATATATATATAATCACATCGCTGAAAATTCAATGTTGCGGAAAAATACAAAAAGAAAGGTTTTTAGAAGACTATTCCTATTTACCAAAATGCGAGAAAATTCAGGAGAAAGAGATTTTCATTCTTCACAAACTACAAAGCCTGAGAGTAACTCTACTGTACCTACATAATGAGTCAATAACAAAAATTTACGTTGGATGATAAAAAAAAAATTAAGGGAAACTAAAAGTGGTAAGATACAAACTTTGTTGAGTCGAACAATACCCTCCTTCCTTAGAAACAATTCCATATCCTGTGTAAACTATTCTAGAAGACCTTTCTTTTAGTTCAAACTGATCAATCAAATGTACCACAACAGAGTTGATCATTGATAAAGATAAACACAATCCAGCTTGTTTGTTTATCAAGCTGGCAATAGTTTTAATCACAAAGTGTTTTTACTGCAGTGCTTCCAAACTTAAAAATTATGAATCTTCATAAGTGTTAATAAGCTGCAATGATAACCAGAAGAAGAATTTTGAAACAGTTAAAAGTTACAACAAAAATATGAGAAAGCCATGAGAGAGATAGATATAGTTTAGGCCCTTCACTGTTTTTTTCACCAAAGCAAGATAGACGGAAAAAAATGAGAGCTTGTCTCTTCCTTTGGCATATGCGTAATACAACGTAGCATCACCGGGCATGAAGCAGCTGAAACACACATTCTTAAACATATATAAAAACGCGACTGGATAGAAAACACCAAGTAATATGAAACACATATTAAGAAGCATAGTATACAACTTTGGAGGTATTAAAGATGGCAGAACGACCAAGAGCAACTTGCATCACTTTGTTTGAGCCGAGGAAGAACATGAACCAATGATAATAATAACCAATAAGAACCAAACTACAAATCAAAGACTTAATGTAGCAAATGTTATTCTCAATTACATTCAAGCAACACCCAACTACGTAGTTACAAAAAAAAATAAAGAAACCGACCTTCCATTGTGCCTAAACTGTTTTCTGAACTCCTTGTATTTGATATATCTTCTGTTTTCAAAAGAGAAATCATAGACATCATCATATTTCTCGACAGCCTATTTGATTCCATTACAAATACTTTGCTTGTTCTTCCTTCCGTTCTTCTTCGAAAAGTAACTGGTTGAACTGAACTGGAGCTCATAAGGGACTGGCGCATCCATTTCTCCCATGTCAAGGATGACCAGAACAACTGCTCTCTTCACAGCCTGCAACACATCTACCACCAACCTAAGTTACTTAGAAAAGTCTACTCAACATGAAGTTCCATTACCAATCTCGTCATGATGATTCAAATAGTATAAGATCGATCTGCATTCAATTTTCAAATACTACATCTTTTCCACAACACCATTGCACTATCTAAACCTAAATATGCATCCTTTGAGTGACTTCAAGATTGGAAACTTTAAAACTTTAAAATTTGATACGAACCTTATCAACTTAAATGTTGATATGAATCTTTCTTTGAAGCAGCACAACACCAGCTTCCCTCACGATCTTAAGCTCATATCGCTCATCTTCTCAGGCCACTCTCTCATATTAGCACCACCTACGATAATGATTGAGTTCTACGTGTCCGATTGCGGCATCAGCATAGCATGTGCCGTCGGGTTCTCCGTCACCAAGTTCACATAATCCAAGCGGAATCCACATCCATCGGATCTATCCCCCAACCCACCTTTTATCAGCTTCCTGTGCATCTTTTCCGCCGGCGAGCGTTTGCTCTCGCGGTAAAGTGAAGAAGATGAAGACAGTGGGCCTACACAAAATGAATTAGCAGCCCATCAACCCAAACTTAGTAAATGAAAATACGTTAAAACCCAACAGCGTAATGGAAATGAGGGTTTGTGGCACGTGGCAAACTCTCAAACAATGAATTAGTGACGTGGAGGCATCAAATGAGGGAGAACTCTATTTTATATAAATAGATTTGTAATTCTTAATATTTTTCTACTTAATTTAATATCTTATAAGTCCCACACATGATCTTATCAAGGTATAGGTCCATTATCCGTGATAAGTTTAATTTACAAATTTCTGACGCTTGTTGTTATGGCCTCTTGGCGTATAAAGTCTACAATGGTCAATGGCTATTTGGTTTTTCTTCAACGTCCATCGAAATTTTTGATATAAAAAACTCGAAAATCTGTATCATATCTTGAGAAAACAAACACCCAAAATCTTTTTCCGTTC